GAAAAAGACAAAAGACAAAAAAAAAAAAAAAAACATAAAAATTACTTCTCTAAATGATAATGATTCCTTGCTTTCATTCATTCTTTCTTTTTTTTTAATTGTGGATGCTTTCATTCTTAAAATTCATAATTATTTAAAGTGATAGAATTTTAAAAATCATTGTTCAATGGTATTGTGCAACATACTAAGATATCTTCTAAAATTCAATACATACCTTTGTCACAGAAACAGGAGATAAACATGTCTGGCCACCAGCACTGAAATTGCAGAAAACTTCTATGGCATCTGAAGGACATCCGAGATTTGGATCAATCCAGTATTTCCCTATTAATTTATGGTAAAATAAAAGTTATTTAAATGCCATGTCAAAGTATATTCGAACCATTCTTACAAATAATCACCATACTTTAAATATATATTTTCATAGTCTTACCTGTTAAAAAACTTAGAAGATTATAAATATACTTATAGATAGTGAATGAATGAAAACGGTATGCATTATGTAAAAATGATACTGAAAATGCTGTATTTTTCACATACCTATCAATTTAAGGGCATTTCATTATTTTAATCAAAATGATAAGATGGCCTAATTTATTGCTTCATTCTACAGGTAGGATGAGCTCATCAACTAAAAATGAATTGAAGTTACACAGTTAAAAGTTGGAGTTAACGTAGTATACAAGTATGTACTTATGTTCTACATCATTACAGAGTTTAAAATGAATATTTTGTTTTAAAATGGAAACAACTTCAATCGCTCTAAGAAAAAATTTATATTCATGTGTAATATTGATAATTAAAATAAAAATAAAACATTTTCTGTAAGCTGGAAAGAGAAGAGAGGTGAACGTATGGAGGAGATGCAGTTGTAGGTAATAACGAAGGCTAGGGGATGGCCTTGGAAGTTAACGTACGGGGGTAGGAGGAGGGTACAAGATAATTGGTGGAAAAGTACCTTCGTCACTTTCAGCTCACCCCTCTAGTGTCCTGACAATAATAATTCTTTGATCTAATCAGGACCTATTATCCACTGACACAACCGCTTTCTCATTGTCCCTCATGATCATGTGATCACTTCCCTTTGCATCCAGCTTAAAGCCCACAGTCCTTTACTGTAATCATTTCCTTAGAAACCTCCTTAACACTGTTGCCTTGCCTCACTTCACTGTACTTGTCTTACAAAACCTCAACCCTATGTAAATTCAATTTTCTGTGTGATCTGTGCCTGCACTTACACAGATAAATGTGGGTAAAGAAAAACACAACTATGCTGACTGGCCTCACTTTAAATTCAAATATGTCTGTAAAGTTGCTAGACTATAAAATTGCTAGTCAGTAATACTATGTTTTTCTAGTTCATTCCCTCTGTCAACTCTCCTAGTTAACTATTCTTTCACTCTTATTCTTGACTGATACCCTTTCGATTTCACTGAGACAACTGAAGAAATCTAAAGAAAACTATATAAGTTCGCCCTAACCACATCTACCCATCTATCTGTATGAGGGTACTTCAAAGATTTGTGGAAAAAAGAATTAAAAGATGATATGAATCTGTCCATGAACTTTTTGAAGTCCTCTTGTACTTGTACACATATATTTTCCCTTATTACTAATCCCTCTTATTATTATGGATAAACTGTGTTCTTACGTAAGACTTGTCTTGTGCATTGTACTGACAGATATAAATTCTGCCTCTCTTATTCTCTCTTTCAAGTCTGCTTCTGTTGTCTGCTATTTCTGTCAGGTCTCATTTATGGTGTTTTGTCAACTTGTGTGCCTGGTTATCACTGATTGTGTGCTGGGCATTGTATTTGTAAAATGATTTGTGTGAATAATTTGAGCCCTAGGATGATGTTATCTTTTATAGATGATTTTTGTTTGTTTCTGCCAGGTATGTGGGATACCAGCAGTCTGGAAACACTTTAATCCATTTAAAGTTTGAGATTTTCTGAGCTATCTAGATGGTGTGAAGTGAGATTATGGTCTGTATGAACGCCTGTTTTCTTTCTTCCAGTTTAGTTACTCCTAGAGTACAGCCCCTTGAGACCCTTAGTCCCCACCTTTAGTGGGCCATGGATTCCAATTTTTGACTCCTAGCCCCATGAAGCCATCAGAAGTATTACTCAGCTTCTCAACATACGGCAAAAGTAGCTGCAAGCGTTGGGCTCATTTCTTTTCTGTCTTTTTCAAAATCTTGGTTTGAAAGTTCCTCACTACTTTGTTAACTATTTTATGCTTCTAACTAAAAAAAAAAATTCAATTTAGCCAGGTAATTTGAATTACATACTTCATTAGCAGAAGTGTAAAGTCCCTAGCTCCATCATTTTCTCATAAAATCTGATAGGGTTTTAACTACTACTTTTCCTCTAAACTGCTCTTGGTGAAGATCATCAATGATCTCTGCATTCCTAAATCCAATAGCCTTTCTTAGTCTTCATCTTATTTGACAGTGACCCAGTTAATCTCTTACTCCTACTCTGGCAAACATTTTCTTTGCTTGGTTTCCAGGACACCACATTCGTCTAGTTTTCCTCCTATCTCAGTGATAGCTGCTGCTTAGTATTCTTTGCAAGCTCCCCTCATCTCCCTGATCTCTAAACATTAGAGAGCCCTTGGGCACAGTTTTTAGGCCTCTTCTCTTTTCTTTCTTTACCTACTATTTAGGCTTAAACAGTCTCAAGGCATCAGATACCATTTATATGTCAGTGACTACATAATTTTTACCCCAGCCAGGACCTCTCTCTTGACCTTGAACTTGAATATCCAGCCACATATTTGGCATTCTTACTTGAATGTCTAATAAACATCTCAAACTAAATATATCCAAACTGAACTCCTCATCTTTTCTCCAAATTTGCTTCTCCTGAAGTCTCCATATCTATCAACAGCAGTCTTATCCTTCTATAGTAAAAAACCTTAGAGTCATCCTTTACCATTTGATTTCTCTCATAGCCCACATCTAATGTACCAACAAAAATTGTTGGCTGTAACTTAAAGAATGTCCATAAATAGGACCACTTGTTACCACTTCCCCTGTGATCAGCTCTAGTCCAACCTTTCATCATCTTTCCTGAATTATTTCAATAGCCTTCTCAGCATTTCCCCACTTCTACTCTTGCCCTCCTCATTATATTTGTAACACATCAGCCAGAGTAATATTTTCAAAATCTAATTCAAATTATGTCATTCCTTTGCTCAAAAATTTCCAATGGCTTCCCATCTTATCCAGAGTAAAAGCTGGAAGCTTTTGAGTATTCTAGAGAGTCCTATACATTGTGGCTTCTCGATATATTTCTGACTTGATTTCCTACCACTCTCCCCCTTATGCAATCTCTTCTCGTCAACTGGCCTTCTTGAAAATCCTGGAACATTCTAGGTACACTCCCAGGCTCAGGACTTTTGCTTTGTTCTTTCTGTTCAGAAAGCTCGTTCCCTAGATTTCCTGTAGGTTGCTCTCTTACTGCCTTCTGCTATTACTCAAATGTCAACTTCTCAGAGATGCCTTATCTGACCATTCTATTTAAAACTGCACCCTCCACTCCACTCTCTAGCATATCCCCCTTCCCTGCTATTTTGTTTTTCTCTGTAGCATTTATCATCTCCGATTCTGGGGTGTAAAGACCTGATATTCCACAATCTATACCACTTAGCCATTTCTCATATAAGGAAGGCAGACTTTGATTAGATTTCATACTGATTTTTGTATTTCTTACAAAAATTTTCTGTCAATTCTATAGAATTACATTTTTATGCCCTTCAATAGAGGAAAGAAGCTTACAATTATTATAGGCAGCTGCAATTATAAATATTAGTTTTTATGTTAATCTAGGGCAGGAAATATCTACAGAAGTTAAGTATTTTATTAATGTAAATAAAACGAATATTTTTATTGCACTTCTAGAATGGAAACATGTTTTGGACAAGAATATGTGTGTGTGTGTGTCCACATAAAATTAAAATAAGAACTATTATTCACCCTACTGAATGACATAACATAGTTCTCTTCAAATCAGCCTATATGTCATTTTGTGGGGCCTAGAGTTTTTAGCAAAAAATGATATAATATTGATTGTACAGCTGACCATAAACCAAATAGAAATTAAAATAAAATGGCATATTGTAGCAGACAAGGTTTCTCTCATTTAACTCATGATCGTTCCTCTAAGTTTAAAAACTTTCCTTCATAGCTCTACTCTAAATTCATTCTTGTGTCTCTGGTTAATGAATTTTGGGTATCTATGTAGGGATAAGAGACTTTCAAAAATGACAAACAACTCCATGGCTGCTGATTCTAGAATGGAGCATTTAAAGTCCATGTTGTGTAAAAACTATACTCTTAGGGAGTATGGTAGTGGGATCTCTATGATATCTTTCTTTATGTTGTCAACTTTGGTGGTCCTAAATTACAAAGTTCTGACAGGTGCTCCTGTCTGTCAACCCAAAGGTCAATTCTACCTATTTTAATTTTTAACATGAATGTGCTTTTGTGTAAAAACTATACTCTTAGGGAGTATGGTAGTGGGATCTCTATGATATCTTTCTTTATGTTGTCAACTTTGGTGGTCCTGAATTACAAAGTTCTGACAGTTGCTCCTGTCTGTCAACCCAAAGGTCAATTCTACCTATTTTAATTTTTAACATGAATGTGCTATATTCTAGGCACAATGTATAAGCAAGTGACATAGCTAGGGGTTGGGTAACATCAAAAGCATGTCTTCTTCTAAGAACATTTTATTCTTGATGACATTAAAATGGCTTCTGCCAGGGTTTTATCAAAATGACTAAGATTTGGAACAAATGTACTACAAATTTCAAACACACCGAAATGATTAAATGAAATCAGACATCAGAATTTGAGGAAACCAAGAACTTACCATCTGATACTTTGTGTTCACAGTTAAGCAAATCTTTGCAGATTCGTGCTGGGTTATCTCGTGTGCCAAGAGGATTCTTGATGCTGTGCAGTAAATTGCTAAGGTAGTGCAGAGTTTTGAATATCTCTGCACTGTGGTCGATCAAAGTCACTTCAGTATTCTGGTAGCTCTGCCAAGTCATCATAAGAATCGTATAAGCAAAAATCCTCTAATGACCAAAACAGATCAAAGCAGAAGAAAAATGGGTTCCTATTGTGTGTACCAAGTTGGGAGTAGGATGTAAAGAACAGTTTGTATTTAAGCATAGGCATATGTCTATGTTTTATTAAGCTTGATCCTAAATAAGAAATTAAATTCACACTTGGGAGTTTGGTTTTCAGGCTGTCATAGACTTAAAGAATTACTATGCCTACTATATAATGTCATTAAAAAATTATACATTGATAATTAGAATTTAAATAAGATAAAAGAGTAGGAATGATAGATTGATCCTATTTTTGGAAACATGGCTAACTTTATTAACTACTCTCTTCAATAGTACCAAATTCCTTACAAATAAATCCTTTACCAAATAACATTTTTGTTTTAAATGTTTTCCTTACAAAATATCCTATGCATATATTTCTTTTTAATTATACTGTAATCACTTACTTTGTTCTTGAAAATGGTTTCATATTTTCAATCTGTTTTAGATACAATCTTTGAGAGAAAGCCACATTTTGGTCTACAAAAAATTTTCTGTTTAATTTGTATATTGAGAGTGCCAACATAAATAAAGCCAGATATATTACCTCCATCTGTAGGGCAGCATTTGATTCAATCAAAGCTTGAATAGCAGCATTTATATCCATTTGTTTCTGTGTAAAACAAAACCATTTGAGATCAGCAATAAGATCAACACTGAGCTGCTCTAAAGTAAAGGCTGTAAATTCTGAAAGCACTGCTGTTAAAGTATACTAGACTTATTATCTAAAAGGGGTTTGTGACTTTTATGGTTAGATAGATCTTGCAAATATTGCCCAGCTATCTGAAAGGACAATATGCTGCCCTCATCCAAATCTTGAAGGTCTCCTAATTAAAACAGAACCGAAGTCTATAGCCCTCAAATGAAAAACTATTTCTCTCTGCTGCAAAAAGCATATACACCAAATTACTGAAATGGAAGAAGAATGAAATATGATCTCCTCAGTTAATAAATTGTAAAGTGAAGAATAAATAACTGTAGTAATTTTTAACAGTTACATTCTTGGAAGCAAAACAGAATAAAATACTACTGTTCTGAGGTAGTTACCACATTAACTTAATCTGATACTTCTGTGGTCTTAAAAACAATTTCTGAAGTTGGAAAATGTACCATTAGTCCCAAAAGAAATAATACAGCATAAATCCAACCTCCTCCTGCATTTAATAACAGATATTTTTAGAGAAAGACTCAGCATAACCATTAGTGAAAGTCCTTTTGCAATTTTTTTTTTTAAATGAGCTTGGAAACTAAGAAGCGTGAGTTGAGAGAAGGTTCTGGAAAATGTCATCTAAGTAAGTGAATTAAGCAATATAATTTCTTTCAGAATCTTTTCTTTCTTGTACTACTAAGATATCTTTTTACTTGGAGGTTCATACTAGAGAGGCTATTTTCAACAGATTTCTCATAACTTATGACTAGTAATTTGAAAAGCTATTTAAAATGATGAAACAATCAATAAAACACGCTCTTCCTTGTCTCAACATGTGGTTTTCATATTGGAAAAGAATTGACTCATTCTGCATATATATATATATATACTGCCAAACCCTGTGATACATATTGAGGATAAAATGGTAAGCAAAAAAGAAGCTTTCCCTTGTGGAACTTAAATTTAGAGGGGAGATAGTCATTAATCAAATCCTCTCAAAAATACATAATTATAAATTGTAGTATGTGCTATGAAAGAAAAGTGCATGAATCTGTGAAAGAAATTAGGGAATCAATCCTATCTGGAGGATGTAAAGGGTTGAAATGGATAGGTCAAGCAAGGCTTCCCTGAGGTAGTGAGATTTGAACTTGAGACCTGAAGAATAAATAAGAAGTGTTAAAGAGGAGGTAGGGGAGCTTTCAGGCAGAAGTAACAATCGTGTACAAAAGCCACAAGACAGAAGGAACATGGCCTATGTACGAAGCAGAAAGTGCTAGCCTGAAATGGTCTCTGTGGATTAAATAATTCTGGCCATCTTCCTTGTATGAATGAGCAAACTCTGGATATGGGCCACACAAAAATGTTGATACTAAACATGGGAAACTGAATTAAGTGCTAAACAATAGCCACTTTTACACTTTCTATTTGGCACCTTGTTGGTGATTAGGGCTTTAATTAGAAAACCTAGCATAGCAGTTCTCAAACTCTTCATAATCAGGACCCTTTTACAGTTTTAAATATGAAAGGCCTTAAACAACTTTTGTTTACGTGAATTATAACTTTTGATATTTACCATAGTAAATATTAAAACATACATTTAAAACTATTTATGTGTTAATTTCTTTAAAATAACAGCAAACCCATTATATGTTAATAGAAATAAAATATTTTTTATGAAAAACAACTGTATTTTCCAAAACAAAAAATTAACAAGAAGGGTGGCACTGCTTTATACTTTTGTACGTATCCCTAACGTCTGGATTGCTAGATGATAGCTAAATTTTCATATTTGCTTCTATATTCAATCGGATGTGATATGCTACTTCAGTTGAAATATATGAAGAAAATATGGCCTCATGGAGATATGCAGTTGGAAAAAAGAGTATTTTACCAGCATTTTCAGATAAATATGGATATTCTTCTTTGATACTATACCAAAACTTGACAAGCTGTAGTTTCTTAAGGGTTAGTTGCAATGTGAAAACTGAGAACATATCAATAAACTTCCTGTACTCTTTTATATTAAAATCTATTGGTCTATCTTAAACTTTGACAGGATCTTTTACCTATGCATGCTTTTGTTAATATCATGAATCGGTCATTCAGAAAATATTAGTTCATGGAATTATGTACATCTTCCAAACACTGACATTATTTCATATCAAAAATTACATTTGTTAACACTATCGTTAATCTCATCAGAAAAACTGGGAAGTTGTCAAATTCACAGTGACAGATACAAGTTTTCTCCAATTTTTATTTTTACTTGAAAACTTAAAATTTATCAGTGGCATCAAATTGTGTCAGTTGTTTTCCTTGAAATGACAGCCTCACTTCATTCATTTTCAAAAAAATATCTGGTAAATACTCATGTCTTAGTAACACTGGTAGTCTGCAAGTAAAAATGGTGTTCTATGATAAAAGCAGCTAGTTCAGTTTGCAACCCAAACAGGTGGACAGTGCTTTTATTTAAGACAACCACTGTACTTCAGTGTGTAGCAAAAGTGCTTTTTATGTCTTTCCATTTCATCACTCGGAATATTAAAAAAGATGTGTACTCAAGATTAGAGACCTAGGAGACAGCAAAATGGTGGAGTAATGACCTCTCAGAACTTTCTCTCCTATAAAAGCAATGAGAAAACTGGCAAAAATTGTCACCAAGACTTTTAGAATTAAGAATATTAAAAAAGATGTGTACTCAAGATTAGAGACCTAGGAGACAGCAAAATGGTGGAGTAATGACCTCTCAAAATTTTCTCTCCTATAAAAGCAATGAGAAAACTGGCAAAAATTGTCACCAAGACTTTTAGAATTACGAATATTAAAAAAGTGCTTGAGGAGCATTTACTTAAGAAAAAGCTGACTCTTGGTAAGAGCAGTGATCTTTGGAGAATTTTAACTTGCCCTATTTCCATGCCACTCTTTCTAGCTCTGCGGTAGCCTTGAAAACTTTTAAAGTTTATGGGAGGCCAATGTTTTGGACCAGCCTCCTTCACTAGGCCCCAGAAGTTAGACCAAATTGGAATGGAGTCACTGTACTAAGTGCCATTTGTAATCGAGTTGGACCTTGAAACAGGTCAGTTTTCCAAAAAACCCAGGAGATTCCATTCAACCTGAGTCAATTAATAAGGAAGTCTCCTCTGTTTTACCCCTCTAGACAAAGTAACTTTGAATGAACAGTCCACTTTTTTTCCTGTTTTTGCTTCTTCAGCCCTTGTCTGTCTATAAAGCCAGCTTCCTACGCTCAGTTCCCTGGAACACTCATTATATTTTATTTCTATTTCATAGAATGAGGTATGTGATTCTAGAATTGCAAATAAAAGCTGATTAGACATTTGAACTAAATTTGTTGTAATTTTGTCTTTTGACAAACCAACAGCCTGCAGTCACGGTGAAACAGTGAAAACCAGCAGCCTGATAGCCATAGGAGGGAACAGAATGCGGTTAGACTTGCTTCACAGTCTCATTTCCAGGGAATTGTCTGGTGGTTCTCTGGAAGATACCACTTGCAAGGCTGTCAATATTATACCTGATTCAGAGGTCATCCAATGCAAAAAGCCCTTTATCCGGGAGCATTTTTCAAAAATATTTAGAGGGAATTGTTTAACTCTGTGGTTGCCCGAAGCAGTAAAAACCAGATAGAGCAAACAGTAGACTAACTGAAGAGCTTACAAGGAAAAGCTGGGGAATGAGATGTCCATAGAGACTTTGAAAAGCTCTGACATATTCCTGGGAATCTAGAAATCCATGTGAATGTAGGTGGCTGTGTGCATGCTCAGGAAAGACCTGAGAAGGCTGTAAGCGCTCTCCTCTGGCTGACCTTGAGGCTCCATAACCAGCAGAAAGTGAAGGCTAAGGCATAGGTGTCGATTGCCTGGCTGAGCATTGAAGGGGTGCCCCAACATGTACACAGACACCCACACCCCTGGTAAAAACTGAGATATTATTGATTCTGACCTTTAGGGAAATCTCTTAAGGAAATTAGCTGACCACTAAACTGAGAAGAGACTTCAGTGCTCATACATGTCATATAATATACACTTTATAGAATTCAGAAAAGTCACTAAACGAACAACAATAAATAGCAACAACTGCAAATGTAGGTTGGGTAAAAGAATCTGATTTCCAGAGTTGCCACACTGTATTAAAATGTCTAGTTTTCGACAAAAATATTATAAGACATGCAAAGAAACGTGAAAGTATGGCCCCATATTTGAGTACAGGGAAAAAAATACAATCGATAGAAACTGTCCCTGAGGAAGCCCAGAGGTTGGGTGTAATAGACAAATATTTTTAGTTATTTCAGATATATTCAGGCTTCTGAAGTCTCAAGATCACTGGAAGGTGAAAATATTGATGGGATAGGAACTGATTTCAGGTCATTCCTCTCTCCATGGTGGAAGTATTTGCTGGTTTTAGGGAACCAGGACAATACCAGCAGCTGCCACCTCTCAATTCACCAATTCAGGTCCCACAGTTTGATCCATTGATTGGAATAAATCAGTTGAAAATTCCTTATCTCGTTTAATAATTTTGAATGATCATTGTTTCCACACCTTAGACCAAATACAGACACTCATACCCACCTTGTTCTTCTCTTTATCCCATCAATCATTTTTGGTTAACTTTGACACCTTGTGGTAAATTTCTTTCTTTCTAAAGATCTTACCATATACAATAACCAAGTCTGGTTATTACTCTATCTCCACATTCAAAATCACCATCCAGTGGGGAAGAAGAGAGCTTGGTGAACAGGTACAAAGTTACAGTGAGACAGGATGAATAAGTTTTGGTGTTCCAGGGTGAATAAAGCTAACAATATATTTCAAGATAGCTAGAAAAGAGGATCTTGAATATTATCACCACAAGGAAGTGATAAATGTTTAGGTGAGGAATATGCTATTTCTGAGTGGATCACTATACAATATATGCATGTGTTAAAACAACACAATCTACCCCATAAACATGTTGAATTAAAAAATATAAAGTTTAAAAAAAAACCCAAATCACCATCAATATATATTCCTTTTCCTGAAACATTTCCTTTTAGCAGTACTACTTAAGGAACTTGAGCACGTTATGTTAGTTCTGTAGGACTTAAAAAGAGGGGATTGGACTGGATCAGAGGTTTTCAGGCTTTTCTTATCTTGACCCACAGTAAGAAATGTATTTTTATATCATGACAAAGTTCACATAAACATATACATATTTAACTGAAAAAAAAACCCCACAAAATCATTTATTCTTACTAGTTATGGTGTACTGATTTTTTAAATGCTTTTTTACTGTATCATGACAAAGTTCACATAAACATATACATATTTAACTGAAAAAAAAACCCACAAAATCATTTATTCTTACTAGTTATGGTGTACTGATTTTTTAAATGCTTTTTTACTGAGGTAAAATTCACATAACATAAAATTCCCTATTTTAACCATTTTTAAAAGTACAATTCAGTTGTTTTTAGTAGATTCACAACGTTGTGCAACCATTATCACTATCTAATTTCAGAACATTTTAATCACCCCAAAAAGAAACCCTTCACCTATTAAGCAGTTACTCCCTGTATTTTTTTCTATTCTGTTTCATTTCATTTCATTTCAAAAGAATGCTGAATGAGACTCACTAAATTGGTCTTATGATTCCTTGATGAATAAATTATAACTCATAGTTTGAAATAATTGCTAAATAATTACTGAAAGGACATCTAGTTCTATGATCCTATTCCATTCTAGACATTGTTTTAATTCAAGTGAAATCTTCTAGCTTGAAATATTCCCACTGAAATTGTCTATCAGTTGTGACTTGTTTTTTTGTATGCATACATGCAGGCATTCACTCATTCATTCAACAAACACTTATTAAGAGATTGAATGGAAAAGAATTCAAAAATATTCTCTAACTTCAGAGAGTTCACAATCTAGTAGGGGAAACTGACATGAAAATAAATGAGTATGAATGGAGAAGGGGAAGAGATCAGTTCGATGTTACAGTATGAGGGGACAATTAAGAGTTTCATGGAAGCTATGATCATAAGCTGACTTTAGACAGAATATGTAGGTGTCTTCTCATTGTCATTTAGACTTCTGCTCTAGAAGTCTTATTCTCAATGCTGCACTGCCACTTTCTTACAGTGGACTCTGCAAATCCCAGAAAGACAGTATATAGAAACTTGTTTCCATATTGGGCAAGATGAAGGAAGATTGAAAGGAGACAAAGGAAGAAAAGAAGGAAGCAAAGAAATTAACATTTATTGATCATCTACCTATAATGTGTCAAGCACATATATTTTCTCATTTAATCCTCCTAATAATTCCTCAAAGCATGTGTATGTGTGTATTTTTTTTTTTTTTTTTTTTTTTTGTTG